TTGTTTATTTTAAACAAACTAAAATTATCGAAAAATTGCAAAATCATGCAAGATTCTAACGACAAAACTTGCTCCCAGAAAAGACCAAATCAGAAAGTGTATCAAAAGTTCCTTAGATGGAAAGAGCAGCAAGACACTGGAGAAATTACAGAAATGGTAACCATGGTTTTAAAACAGCAAAATAAAAATTTTATTTCGCTAGCGGTTTAAAAATTTTATGGTGCTACCGGATAAACCAAAGCTTTAGTGGCCTACTGACGGCAAAATAAACGTTTGTTTACATGTCAAAATTGAATAAAAAAATTTATTTTCCAGAAACAGTGCACAAAGAACAGAACATTTTTGTCGTGGAGGAACACGGTCATCAAGTTCTGCGACTTCCACTATACCACTCTCACTACAACCCAGTAGAATTGATATGGTCTAGTGGAAAAAGTACTACGACAAAACATTCAAAGGAACGGGTTTGACGATGCAGCGGTGTTGGCGATGTGAGATGAAGCCTTGCAGACTGCGACACCTGAATTTTGTGAACAATTGGTGCAAAATGATTGGGAAAACAAAATATTTATCGACGACAATCAAGGAGAAATAATTGTTAATCTAAAAAATGAGTCTTCTAATGACGACGATAGATATTTGACTGTTTGTGTTAATTTTCGTCATGGCACCTATTGTAAACAAAACGTTTTTACGCGCAAGTGGATGGTGGAAATTGTTTATTCGATTTGGCATTTTTTATTTTCATGTTTTCAATGTTTTTACACATGTGATAAATGTGTTCTACTTATTTTAGAAACATTTTGCTCACCTTTTTTTTGTTTGTTGGTTTAAGTTTCATGTTGTGTCTACACATATTAAAACAAAAAGGCAATATGATTGAAATGTAGCAAAGGACCAGGAATGTTAGTACATAATAGAGGTGTTAAACATTCAGCGTAATGAAACAAATCTTCTAATTCCTTTATGATGTAAACTGCCAAGAAAGCGACGTAATCATTATGTTTTTGGAAAATGAATCTGCTTGTTCTTTTATAATAATGGGCAGAAAATGTGTAATTTGTGGAAACACAGCTAAACCGTTATTTCAGTTTCCCAACAGTGCCCCAAACCGACCAAAATGGTTTGAAGTTGTTGATAAATTTATTGCTAAATTATTTAATAATTAAAAAACTGTTCCGACATTATAAAACATTTATACATGTTTCTAAAATTAAAGACCACTGGTCTGTTAGTGAACGCTATTTCAACAAAAGCGATATTATTTTCGCCAAGACTTCGCTGCGTTTAGCCGATGACGCTATTCCCTTTCTAACAATCCTTGCTAGTAGAAAACAATTTATAATGTACTTTCTGATTATTTAGAAACCAGTTCGATATCTATTCAACTAAATACCGTATCGTTTAAAGAAATCACAGATCTTTGACATCACGTTAAAGTCCTTACATCACAGCTGAAACGAGCAATTGAAAAATACTCTAAATGTCATCAAAAATTGAAAAATTTACAGGAGAAAGTTGATAACAATGAAGAGAATTTGAAACTTATTAAAAAATTTCTGGCGATTCTGAAACTTCTGAAGAAAGGGCAGTAAGTATTTCTTGTGAACCTAATAATAAATTATAACAAGAAGGTAGCACGTGGACTCTACGCATTTTACACATGCATTAGATGTTGCTTGCGTCAACGCATGACTAGAATATAGGGAAGAAGCCACACGGATAAAAATACCCAAAAAGACACTACACAAAGTCTAATTTTATCACAAAACAACAACGCTCAACCGCAAAAGAGAACGGCCTTCGAGCGAGCCTTCACCTAGTGCGTCATCGACGCCCCCGCCTGTAAAATCTCGAAAAATGCAGGAAGTACGGCCAACAGTAGAGGTCTGCTTTCATGAGATAAACCTTGTCCATGAAGACAAAAAATTTGCTTCGAGATGTAAGCAGCCAAGGTGTAAGAGTACTTCCAAAATTATGTGCCAAAAATCTAATGTGCATTTGTGCCTAAACAAAAATTCAAATTGTTTTTTGAAATTTCATTCAAAATGACACTAGAAAATAAATATTTTATTTTTTCAAAATGCTTGCTCAGAAAAACTTGAGGGTCATTACAATATAGTACTGTTATAAATAGACGTTGTTTCAGCAATTGTTATACACGGTAGCTACTATATTACTACCGCCTCCAGAAAGAGCAAAACAATTACCTTATTAGATAAAAAAAAACTTTGCAATTATTCAACTGATTACTCTGTTTAAAATAACAATAGCTGTGATTTCTTGTTGCAATGCCGAAGATTTTTTATTCCTCCTCCATGTATTTTCAAAGGACAAACAAAAAAGCCTGTATTTGAAGATGGGATGCCACCAGACTATGTAGTTTATATGAATGAAAAATCAGGTTATATTAGGAGCGATATATTCTTACAATGGTTGGTTGAAGACTCAATTCTTACCTCGTAAAGTTGTTGGGAAACTGATTTTGGTTTTAGTTGTGCACTCAACGCATTGTACTTCTGTTGCAATGCTAAAATGTGCTGAAAAACATGAAATTATATTGTTGTGCCTGGGAAATGGTACAACGCAGTTTCTTCAATCCTTAGACATGGCATTTTTTAAAAGTTTAAAGTCCAGTTTTGCCAAAGTATGGAATAGATATGTTCAAATTCAAGAAAAAAATGTTTCCAAGTTTACAGTTTGGAAGTTTACTGACTCTCTGCTGGTGTGCAAAAAGCCATTTCTGTCTTTAGAGCAACCGGAATATGCCCGCTTAATATCCAACTGTAATTCCAGATTACGCCTTTTAATCTGACAAATCAGAACAAACTCAAACTGAAAATAGCGAAGTCCCACGTACTTTAGCATCAATTATTCAAACTAGGAAAAGAAGCAAATAAGTCGCAGTTGTTTTAACATCTCGTGAAAACACAGATAAATCACATATTGAATTTCTTTCTGCAAAAAAAATATCATTTGAGTTCATCTATTCCTTCTGAACCCTCTTCTGAAGTAAGTAGTGTATCTAACTCTGGTCAAGTTGTTAGATGCTATAACGAAACAAAGAGCTCAAGCAAGTAGCAAAGTGGCAAAATATAGACGAGTCAGATTCTGATGAATGAAATACAGAAGTATCTGTTACTTACAGTCGAAAAACAGACACTCGTAACCCTGTTTATGATAAAAAACATGTTTGTTACTTTTATTACAAATCTATCGGTAAAATAACTGCTCATAATAATTATGTACTCAAAAGAAATTCTCCGTCTTCTGCCATTAGACGAAAAATCAGTAGAACGAAAGGAAAGATTTCTAAGCATACTTAGAGCAGGTGATTATTATCACAATATTGAGGTGTTAACAAGTCGGAAAGGTAAGCTAATTTTAAGCAGACGTCCAAAAGACAAATGTAGGTTAATTTATACAAAAATATGGTCCTTGTCCGAATTGTTCGGATTTTTTTTTAATAAGTAATTTGTGGCATCATCTAAAATATAGTTGTCTAAAAAAGTGCGCATAAAACCACTAAACCTAAGGTAAAAGTGTTTCTACAAAAAAAATTGCATGCCAAAATAAATTAATAGGTAACTTGTATGATAGAAATGTTCGCAAAGACATTCGTGTTGACAATCTGAAGAAGAAAATTAAACATTTTTGAGCAAAGAATCTGTCAACACAATAAAACTCAATGCTATGGATTTTTGGAAAAATCAAGAACTCATTACTCCAATGTGGTGTAATATTAACAATTTGCCAATACCAAAGCAATATAGACAAGAGATAAGAAAGTTTGGCATTACTTTACATTTTTATTCGCCAAGGCTTATATTTTATTACAGAAAAGTTATAACAAACCTTGTTAAAACTCACGCGTTATGATATTCTTCTCTTGGCGGTTCTCCAGGGTTCACTAAGAAAATTTTTAATATGTTAACGCTAAAGTATGAACAGTTTTTATCGCAGAGGAAAGTATTCTCTACCCGAAATACCCAGTGATGAATCCTATAACCGACAGTATTCACAGCAACTCGGCAAGGAAGTCAGAGAGTGCGACTAGCAATTTAATGAGCGGCGAATCGCAGGTAAAAGCCGAGGAAAATCACATTTTGCCTATGCCGCAAAAAGACAAAGTCGGTTCAGTGAAAGGGTAGGCGAAGCTGTTATGTCTGACTTTGCAAAACAGTTGAATGGTAGGCTTCTCCCTGGGGTAAAAGACGCTCCTACTGCCCTGAAGCAACTCATACTCTAATAAGAGCGATAACGCTGTGTATTACGACCATGTCAATTGGCTTTTCTGCAGCAATAACGTTTACAGCATTATACTCATTTAATAATGGCCCAGTTGGTAGTAGTATTTATCAATTCTACCGTATTTATACTGCCATGTTAGAATGGAGAAATAAAATTTGAGTAGAAATCTGATTTCTCTTTTGTTATAATTAAAATTGTATGATGTGGAATTTTAGAGTTGATACTTTATTTTTTTTATTGATATGGTAATACATTCATATCCACGTTTTGATTTTCATGATTATTAACGATTTACATTTTTTCAATTGACAGGTGCATTAGGGGAAGCAGGGGTAATGGCGTTTACCGGGTAATGCCGCTCAGCCCAATAACTTGATAAATACGATGCGTAGAAACACGTCACTCGGGCTAAAGCGCGGGAAATGTGATGCGTAAACATGCAGCGCTAAGTAATCTCAGTTCCCTCGCAACACGAGAGAGTCAGGTGCATATGTTTGTTTGCGGCCACACTGATCTAATTTTTCGCCGGATGTTTTTGTCGGTAAGTCCAGAATTTTAGTACTTATGTATTATTGGTATTATTATTTTAGATACTAAAACATTCTGTTTAGCGATAACGTAAACACTTTTAAACAATTACTGCTGAATGTTTGAAAATGTCAACTTTTATACAAAACGATCGTTTGGGGTTATGCCACTCAAGTGAACGCCATTACCCCCAAATGATATAATATGTTTTTTTAACAGATATGCCCAGATATCGTCAAAGGACCACCGCCAAAGCGGCTTGGAGCGAAGAAGACCTGCTGCACGCTAATACTGCGATTGAAAGGGGAATGTCCAAAAGGCAAGCAGCGAAAACACACAACATCCCATTTACTACGTTGAGAGATAGACTAAAGAATGACAACATGAGCAGTCCACAACTGGGTCGTAAGCCAGTTTTTAATCAACAGCAAGAAAGTGAAATAGCCGAACAAGTTAAGTTTCTGGGATCGTTATACTATGGACTGAGCGTCGCAGATTTGCGTAAATTTGTTTATCAATATGCAGAGCTCAATAACATCAAAAACAATTTTGATAAAAGTAGCAAAACAGCAGGATATGACTGGGTACAAGGTTTTATGAGACGCAACCCTTCTGTTGCTGTACGCAAAGCTGAAGCAACGAGCTTAAATAGGGTGTCTGCCTTTAACAAAGAAGAAATAACTCATTTCTACAATATGCTTGGTGATCTGATGGAGAAGCATAGGTTCTCTCCCAATAACATGTACAATGCTGACGAAACAGGAATCACAACCGTCACAGATCCAGGAAAAGTGCTTGCAAAAAAAGGCCAACGTAGAGTAGGGGCAGTTACGAGCGGCGAACGAGGCACAAACATTACAGTTATGTGTGCCGTGAGTGCGTCTGGGAACTACATACCACCAATGTTCATATTTCCTAGACAGAGAATGACACCATTATTAGAAAAAGATGGACCACCTGGTGCATTGTACACCAACTCCAAGAACGGCTGGATAAATGAACAATTATTTGTCGACTGGCTTCAACATTTTGCAGCATATGTCAAGCCTACGCAAGAATCTCCTGTGCTGTTAATACTTGATAACCATAGCAGTCACATCTCGCTTCCAGCTTTTAACTATTGCAAAGAAAATCACATCGTAGTACTTTCGATCCCACCACACAGCTCTCACAGAACACAACCTCTTGATGTGTCTTTTTATGGACCCCTGAAAGCTGCTTATAGACACGAATGCAACAGGCACATGAAGACACACTTGATGGCTAAAATAACTCCATATGATGTTGCATGTTTATTCAACAAAGCATATGCACAAGTTGCAAATATAAGCAAGGGAGAAGCTGGATTCCGAGCCACGGGAATATACCCTTTGAATCCAAATATTTTTACCGAGCAAGACTTTTTAGCAGCATCGCTGATGGTTCAAGATTCAAACCAACCTACTCAAAACGAAGATGAAAATGTCGGCAATCTTGGAGGTGCACAGCCTCGTGACATGACTGCGAATCAAACAGCTACTTCCTCTCTGTCTGGTCCATTATTTAAGACGCCAAACGAAGAACTTGAAAATCCTGCACTTGGTTCTCAGTGCCCTGAATCTGAATCACCTGTTCCTGGCCCATCTAATCAGGCAATTTTCGACGAACAAAGACAAACTCCTGTGTCTTTTGCTGAAATAGCAACGACCCCAACTATTGCCCCATCTTCAAAGCCAGGTCGAAGGAACAGAAAACAACGTGCTACTATATTAACATCAACTCCATTGAAAAGTATTTTAGAAGAGAAAGAAAAGAAAAAGAAAGCAAAAAACAATAAGACTGAAAAAAATTACAAAACAAACACTAAAAAAGCAGCAAATAATAAGAATATAAAAGGAAAATCTTGCAAACGCAAAGTTCTGCAAGAAAGTTCTTCGGAGACCGAAGATGAAGAATATCAAAATTTTTGTAACGACGACAGTGATGATGAACTGGACGTGGACGGTGAAAACAACTATAACAAATGCAATATTTGCGAAGAATTTAGACGAAATAACGAGATGTGGTATCGCTGTACCATATGCGGACTATGGTCTCATGCCATGTGCTCTGGATGGGATTCTCCAAAAGGATACATCTGTGATTTATGTGCCTAAGACTAAAATCTGATGTTTACTCATAGTTATTATTTTTAATAAAATTTATGCAGTTAAGCAAAATTTGAGCGTCATTACCCCTTTACCTGAGTGGTATTACCCATAATCCAGGGCATTGGCGTTCAAACCTGTTTTTTTTTTGTAAGTGTTTCCACTGATTATCAGTGAAAGATAACTACGTTTTGTGTTAAAATGTTGATTACTAAATAGTTAAACCTTTGTTATTTTTTCATACTTTTATTATAAATCAAAATATAAAAAAAATAAAGCGTTTTTTCCTTAAGTGAACGGCATTCCCCCTGCTTACCCTATTTACATTCTCATTTGACATGACATTTTACTTGCCACCCATCAATAATTAAATTCCCCATGGTCTATCTTATAAATCGTCACAAACACTTTTTATTCCTGGTTTTTCTACGTTTATTATATACCCCTTTTCGGCCATTATTAATCTAGAAACTTTCATGAAGTTAGTTGTTCCCTTAAAATTTTGAGTCAAGATCCCTGATATAAGTAGCAGTTTAGGGGCAATTTCGGTCAAGAATCCGTGGTACTAAAATTTCGACTGACTACTTAGTGCTCGCTCGACGCTTTCGTCGGATCAAAACTTGCACTCAAAACTCCTCCAAATTGCAGCTTTCGACTCAGAGTCGGATTTATTCGTAAAGAGGACCAACTACCTTCTGCAGAGGCCGCCCTACAACAAAGGCCTTCTTCTTCTTTTCTTTCCGTATTCTCTTATCGTAATTCGTCACCTCGTCGCCACTGGGTATACTCATCCTAGTTATAGTAGCCTGCATAGATATTGTAGCCGTACATAGAGTCGAAATTTGCGATTAAAAATAAAATAAAACCGGTTCAAACGGAGTCGACGATGGCTTGCAAGTGCCTCACTATGGCACGCGTCGTGTCGCACAGGGGTGTATTTAAGGCCGTCTCCACAAAATTTTACGGTCACTGTAATCTTACTATTTTCAATCTACGACAAACGATTTGTCACTCAGCTACGAAACTGACGATCTAGAGAAAGATGAAAGTTTGAAAATGTATTTCAACAAGTATAATAACCGTTTGGTGCAACACAATTAATTGGTTGAGGCAAACTAAAATATGACAGGAAACAAACAGTCCACGTGGACCAAGTTATAGTCGTATAGCTAAGACAACTAGGTTTTTCGCTCCATCTACCTCTGCAACGATATACCACAACTTGTGTACAGTGAACAGAGCTTCGTTTTTAATCATTTTTTATATTTATTGATTAAAAAGAGTTTTCTTGTTTTTTCTTTGTGTTTGTGTAACATGTAAAATAACTTTGTCGCAAATACCTACAGTTTTTTTACTAACAGATTTTTTCTTTTTATTAAAAAAACTAACAACAATTTTTAGAAAATTACAAGTAATTTTCAAGTTCAAATTAAATCTTGATACAAATTTTTTAGTCGATCTTTCAATTAGTATTTAATTAGTTTAGAAAATAGTTTTACGCATAAATTTCGACCTTCCCGTTGTAAATCTAATCTATTCAATTTCTGGGTTCAGTTTCACCAATAACACTAAAAATGTTGCATTCATTGTATACATACATATACTTACAGTGGCGGCTGGTGACCTTTTGAAATGGGGGGACACAATTTGACTGATGAGTTAAATATGAAGATATAAAACAGGTTGTCATTACCAATTAATAGACGAAATTCTGGGACGGAAATAAATACAAAAATACATTCAATAAAAATAAAAAAGAATTTCTCCACATACCTTTTTGCCTTCGGTGTTCATGGCATCTAAAAGTTCATTTTGGACAGTTTTAGGCGTTCCTTTAAAAACCGTTGCTTCTTTCAAATGATCTGATAAAGTCGAATTCAGCCATAAAATCAATCAGATCTCGATCTGGATTTTGTGATTCCCTACTTTCGTCATGTCCACGTAAAGCAAATTCAAACACTCCACAAAATTTTATGCACATTATCAATCGGCGTAATATATGGCGATTTTTGTCGACCCTTGCGTTATGTGCCCGAATATTATTAATATAAGCGGTGTGTAGTTGTTTCCGAATGTCTGTATTACCGAGAAGATTATCCAAGAATATTTATCATACGTGTTTGCGCAGAAGGAAAATTAAAACCCGCGATAGTAACTCAATCCTCCAGAGCACGATCGCAACGGGCTCACAAGCCAGTTGTATCAAGCGCATATCAGGCGGTTACGACGTGTAGTTTCCATGGCAACGGTGTAAACAAAACATCTAAATCAGTCATGATTCGGTCCATTCTGTCTCTGTGCCGGGCTTTTATCAGCATTTCATCAGAAATAACATATCATATATCCAAGACACATCTTTAGATGCAAGTGGAAGTAAGTTTTGATACATTTTAGACAAGTGGAGCGAGATAAAAAAATTAGTTTTGATAATTATGATACAAATTTCCGGATAATTTTTTAAATATTGAAAATTACTATTTTGCTATGTCCAGTGTGTTTGTAGACGTTGTAATTTTGGGGGGCACGTGCTCTTGTGCCCCCCGGCACCAGCCGCCCCTGCTATACCTTGCAAACATAGATAGAGTATTCATACTATAAAAAGTGGTTCGCGCAGTTGCATCCAGTTTTCAGAAGCAGAGAAGTAAACTGAAATGCGTTTGCGTTTTATTCGATCAAGTGTGGTGTAGTGAGTGTTGTTATTTTTAAGTGCCGTGAATTTTATTATTTAGAAGTATTAGTTTTGTATGTATTAATTGTTGCGATAATTCCTGTTGAATTACTTTGTGGTTAAGTGTTGTTTTTTTTATCAGCATCAGGTGAAGATATTTGAAAAATAAAAATGTTTCGCCCTTGGGAAAACAAATTTGCAACACCAAGCACAAGCGGTAAAAACAAAAAAAATGACGATGAATGTGATAGTGGATATGTGTAGTGAGAGTGAAATTGACAATGATAAGTGTAGTGATAGTGATAATGACAGTGACTATGAAGACACAATTGACAGCACTGATCGAGGAAAGAAACGCCTGTACTTAAACGAACAGGCCAAACAGATTTGTTTAAATGTTTATAACAATCTATTAAAAGATAAACGGCCCGAATCTGAAGATGGAACCACAAGTGTGTTAAAATTAGCAGCACATTTAACTGGAATTCCCTATTCAACTATGACAAAACTAGTGAGAGAAGGAGCTGTCAAAAGAAAAAGACGGTGTGATGCTGGAAAAAGTAAGGAATCCAGGCACAGCAAAATTACTAAGAGATATAGTATATCAAAACTATAGCAAAAATGAAATCCCAACGATAGAGACCATCAGTAAACAATTATTGGAAATGGAGTTTTATATAAACGAAGATACATTAAGAAGATGGTTGAAAAAGCTGGGATTTAAGTTCCAGATAATTAATAAACGAACGGCAGTTATGGAAAGCCGAAGAATTGTTAATTAGCGACTGTCGTACTTAGAAAAAATACAGATATTTCGCTCTGAAAATCGACCAATTTATTATCTAGACGAAACTTGGTTTGATACTCATGATACAGCCAAAAAAGGGTGGTCAAATGGTTCAATTAGATGCCAAATCACTGCCATGCCCGTTGGAAAAGGAACCCGTTTAGTAATTTTGCATTGTGGGTCTAGCGATTGTTGGGTTCACAATGGATTAAAATTATGTGGAAAGAAAATGGAAGACTGCAATGTAGACTACCATAAAAACATGGATTCTGACGTTTTTGAAGAATGGTTTGAATTTAGTTTAATTCCCAATTTGAAAACCAACAGCATTATTGTTCTTGATAATGCTTCATATCATTCGAGACAGTTAAATAAAATTCCAAATGCCAACTCAAGGAAATTAGAGATACAGAATTTTTAATGCAACAGGATTTGTATTTTGATGAATCTTATACCAAGGCCCAACTTCTGGAAGTTCTACGCACAAGAACATTTGAAAAGGAATTTGTAATAGAAATGATAGCAAGAAATCATCACCATACGGTCCTGAGATTACCTCCACACTATTGTATTTTCAATCCAATTGAGCTTATGTGGACGCAGTTAAAGAAACGAATTCGACGAAAAAATATGAAGCCAAAATTTGATCGTGCTGTGATAGACTTGATTAAGGAAGAGTTTGCCAAGATTTCCGCAGAAGACTGGCAAAAAAAGATTTAAAAAACTATAGAATACGAAGATCATTACAGGTCATTGGGAAAGATGATCAAAAGCGGAAATGAGCAGTTCATCATAGACTTGCAAGAAGAATCGGATGAGGACGAAATGGAAGAATTATAAGTGGTTTTTGAATTACATTTTTATATGCATATTGGTAGTTATAGATTATTATTTTTTATTACAACATTTGAATGCCGTCTTTTTTTTTTAATTTTTGCAAGTAATGAATATTATTTATTAACGTAAAGCTTGAAAATGTTTTTTAATTTTGGCAAGGAATACATGTGGTTTTTCAAGAAAGTTTAAATTTTTTTTGCAGAATGTTTTCAACTTTTGGGAAAGAATGCATGTTTTGTTACCAGAAAAGCTTATTTTTTTTAGCAGAATGTTTTAGATATTTGGCAAGAAATGCATGTTTTTTTAACAGAAAGCTTACATTTTTTAACAGAATGTTTTTTTGGTTTTGGCAAGGAATGCTCATACCTTCCCGTGGTCCTTGCTGGGCAATACAACGAATACAACGCTATTACTGTTATTGGCGAGATTGAGCTCAGAAATTAAACAGATTATATTATAACGAAAAAGATATTTAATATTAAATACGTCTCTGTGCAACGCGTGCCACAGTGACGTCACAATTTGCAAGTCATGTTCGGCTCCGTTTGAACCGGTTTTATTTTATTTTTATTCGCAAATTTCGACTCGATGGACGGCTACAATATCTATGCAAGCTACTATAGTTGCCTCCATAGTCCAGCGTCCCGAGTTACCTCTAGCTCCCGACATCTGGAGAGTGATTGGCCATCGTTTCCAGATTGCAGACGTACACCCTGGGTGGCGATTCTAATTCATTTCGATAGAAGTTGAGTTGAAATCTTGTGACGTTAATTCGAGTCGAAATGCCAGCATTCAGATTATTTCGACTCGAGTCGATAATAAAGGAGTCTGTAGTATTCTGTCAATTTTTGTAAGGTTATGTAAGAAAGGCACCTAAAGGTGTTGTTTGTGGTTTATTTATATTCAGCTTAATACTTTTTACGTGCAGTTTGCGGTAAAACAGTAATGGCCAAAGATAGTTACGAGGGTAAAATTTCGTTAGATCAAAAAGAAATTTTAATTACTTTCATGGAAGAACACTCGGAATTTGCAAAAGGAAAGTTCATTGGAGCTGAGGGACGTAAAACTAGAAACGGCATGTGGGAGCAACTTACAGGCACGTTGAATTCTGTTAAAGGACCTCGGAAAACCTCAATTAAATGGCAGCGTGTGTGGATTGATTTAAAAAATAAAATTAAAAAGAAAGCCAGCGAAATCAAAAGACATCATGGAAAGACTGGCGGAGGACCAGCAACAAATATTAAGCTGAATGATTTGGAACAGCGTATACTAAATCTATTAACGGATGAAGCCGTTTACGGTTTAGACAAAACGGTTGATGTGCCTCTCGAAAGTGAAGAACCAGAAGTAAGAGAGATGGCAGAGACCGAATCAAGTGTGCCATCACCTGGATCATCTGCCACAGAAGAAATTCTTATTATTGGAGCACATGATTCGGACAGTGTCAGAAGTGAAGATGAGCCAACAGTGAATAACACATCCATAGCCTCACGTCGACGAACTAGCAGAACTACCGTTCAAGAAACGGCTAGTAATTTTATTACAATTGGGGAAACATTAAATCAGAAATTGGATAACGTTATCTCTGCTCTCGAGGATAATGTCAGAGAAAGGGGAACCACTAATAGTTTGCTTCATGAACTTATTAATGTTATGAAATCCAATGACAACACTTTAAAAATGTAACTTTATTAAATGAATAAAAAAGTAAAAATTTAAAAATTTGTAACAATATATTCTCTGCGTTGTTGTTGACCCAATCGCCTATATGCAATATCTAAATCGGCAATATACCGTGGCACAGGTAAGTCCTCTCTGTCGATGTCATCCCACATAGGAGCCGGATCATCAACTCTATAGAAGACTGCCATATTATGTAGGATAGTGCATGCCATTATTATTTTTGCAGCTTTCTGTGGTGTGTAATGTAATACACGATCCTTCAATAGGCAACGAAAACGCCCTTTTAAAACGCCAATACACCTTTCTACAGTACTCCGACATGATTTAAATCTATTATTATACCTTTCCTCTTGAGGTGTTGCAGGATGAGGTACTGGTATCAGCAGCCATGGTAAGCAGGGGTAACCTGAATCCCCCATTATTCGAGATTCAGTATCACCATTTTCATAATTTGCCCGCATAGCTTGTCCCACTCGACTTGATCTCCATATAAAAGCGTCATGGGTGCTGCCTGGCCATCTGGCTACAATACTAAGAATTCTTAATTCTGAATCACAAATAATTTGGCAGTTTAAACTGTGGTAATTTTTTCTGTTTACATATATGTGTTCATTCTCATTAGGTTTTTTTATAGCAATGTGTGTACCGTCAACAATGCCGATTATATTAGGCATTCGATGGCGTTGCATAAATCTGTGTTTTAGTTCATTCCTTTCCCTATCATTGCGAGGGAAATGCACCCAATCTTTGAGAAGATATCGCACAATTATAGTAGAAACTTCTTGGATATTTCTACTGACAACAGGTTGACTGCAACAAGAAAGTAGATTCGCTCCAACCGATCGTTGGTAACTTCCTGTTGCAAAGAAATTTAAAGCTGACAAGATCCTCAAAACTTTCGGAATTTTAGAGACATACGAATTGTTCACCATATGGGGTTCGATGTCTCTAATGATTTCTAGGGCAGCGTTTTTGTGGAAACGAAAGTGCCGCGTAAATTCGGCATCCGAGATGGCAAATGGGTTTTGAGTATCTCGCACCATACGTCTAAACACTCTGATTCCATTTTCTTGTTCTTCTCGTTCCATTTGCTCAAGTACTAGTAACTGGCCCCACAAGTGTGCCATAATGTGGCATGAGTTTCCTTTTTTGTTACAGTTACACGTTTAACCTCACATTTCACCCAACATTTCGACTGGAAACCACGATTTCAACCAGGCTGGAGATGTTGAAATAATTTCAACCTATCGAAATGTTATGACGTCATCGATGACGTTTACGTCAAACTTTGTTGTAGATCCGCTAGATGGCTACGAGCAAAACGTGTCGCATTTCGACATAACATTTCGACTTGAATAGCTTTTCGATATCGAAATCCAAATCAGAATCGCCCTCCTGGACACTGCACTCACCACAAGGATTGTCGCTCGACATATTACCCATTTATCAAATTTTCAACTAGTGAAACGAATCTTACTAACCCTACTTTTAAGCTTTCTTACTAATTACTTACCTTAATTAGGTACTACGTAAGTAGTTAATTCGCGATTTGGATACATAGACAGATAAGTTCATATATATAAATCTTCCTTGCAAACCTAACGGATAACTTCATATATAAACTTTGCTTGTAAACCTAACCTAAGAGTCAACGTATTGATTGGTATTATCATTTTTTCTTACTAATTGTTAATTACTCACGTCGAATGTAAACCGAGGCAGTATCTCCGTCATATATATACGTCTCTGGGTATCTTTACCGTGGTTATTTAAGAAAACAAAGCTTACAACGCCCACGTCTAAACAGCTGTTCACACGTGACCCGACATAACCTCAAACAACGGTCCAGCGTATCTTGATTGACTCTGAGGGAGCTTACTCGATATCACCTGCTAATGGGTATCATATAAAGTTTCTTGTTTCTTTGCTATCAATATTATAAACTTCTCAACAACTTATAAATGTGAAATAACCATGTCAATAAATTTTAATTAATTGTTCTATTAGCTAATTTACGTCTTAGCTTACGATATAACCCACCCCATTTGCACTGAAGCTAGTCGCGGTCAAGACAGACGTAACATTGTTATAAAATCGACCTTTCAGAAGATTATTTGACAACCTTGTTTTTGTTGAATTTAATCGCTTCCAAATTTTTGGGGCACACTCTATAGCAATGGTGCAAAATACACACGGATTATGAATATCGACAAAAAGGACAAAAAAACTGTGTACCAAATTCTATGGACAGTCCACACAGGTTTGTCCATAGGTGGATACAAAATGTGTACCTCCTCATATGGCCTCTCCCCACGAGCTGGTCGTTGCAAAAAGTCCAGAAGCAATGGGTGTTAAGCAATTAAACTATGGTGTCTATATGTGTAAAAATAAAGAGCTGCAGTTCAAGCCGTCCGACGACGAGGACGTAGAAACAAATCAAACACTACTAAATGTTAGCTCCTTTTAAAAATCTGTTTCAGCAATGTTGTAATCAACTATGCGTGTTTCCAAATTATAATATATTCATTGATTCGTTGGCAACTGAAATCATCAGTAACGTGGTAACGATCAGCATTTTGATGAAATTGTGCTGGACGTCATTATAGAATGCTATGAAAGTAATTCTATTCTATAAGATATTTTTGAAGATGCCTCAAACGTTAAGGGGGAACGCTAGACGACAGATAAGTCTGAATTAGGCGCCATTTGTTGACTTAAACGCAAACAGCAATCTTTCCTGTAATCTTCCTGCCGCGTCGAGATAGACAGGTCATAAAAACATCCTAAGCCGATATAGAAGAATAATGATAAATTATGACAAGCTGTCGACAACAGACCTTCAGCACAGAATAATTCTTTTGAAATATTCATTTTAATGCTCAAGTTAATTATTATACTCAAACACGATTCGAACACTGTAGCATATCAAGCCCGTCCATTAATTTATTCGCCTAAACGTATTATTAATGCCGTTTTCTTCTTATTCAGATAAGGACTTGATACGATCGGTAATATGCAGAATGAAATGGTATTAGGGTTTTGAATTTTGATTAAGCTTAGATGGTGCGCAGTACACCCCTGCACAACAGCGATACTACCCCACCACCCACCCTTCGACGGCACCGGGGTGGTACGGAACTGGACCAAGACAGAACGTATCTCGCAGTACACGCGATCGGTCGAGTTAACTTGTACATACACATTACATACTGTTAATATATGGTCACCAAGCAGTACTCTTTTTTCTTTCCATGTTCGTACCGTGTTAAACGGTCCTTCCATTAGCCTGCGGCGCAACGCCACAGATGGTTATATATTATAACTGTGCAGGGTGATTTAAAAACGTTGGGTAAAAATCTTACAGCGTACTCTACAAAAAAATATTGTTTTCACGGGTACGTCATAATTAATAAATATTGCACAATTTGCGACAGATCAATAAATGACAATTTAAAAATAAATTGCATGTTTTAAAAATTATAAAGACACTTCTACCGCCATGGAAGCAGAAGTTATTTTAGAACAGTTTAGGAAATTAGTTGATACTTATGTATGACCTAATTTATGGCAAAATAATAACCGACGGAGACAGTAGTTATTACAATAAATTACTGTCATCATCTCTGTATGGTCCACAATTTCATATTCAAAATATTGAATGTAAGAATCATATTGGCCATTACGTATCCAAATTAACGGAACTAAAGAATAATACCAAATGTTTGAAAAAGCAACGAAACATTTTAAGCGTTAAAATTAACATAGAAAAGCTGCGCGTAGGGGTGAACTCATCTATTTCATTTTGGATAGAAAATAAAAATCATTTATTGGAAGAGAGAGTTACAAAACGAAATCGAAAATCGTTCCAGGCAAACCTTTGGAGATCACACGTTTTGTAATATTAGTGAACATTCTTTTTGTACTGAAGAATCTGTAAAAAAAAAAGTGGAGGCTGGAGAGCAAAACCCCACTGTTGACTGATAATGGATTTGTTGATGAAGTTTTGTTTTGAGATAAAATGGTGCCAGATAATGCGTCAGTTTATTACAGAATGTTACTAACAACTTATCAGAATGTTATATTCTGTAATCAGTAAGTTTGTTAGCGGCAAAAGGGTTAATTTTTCTTTAGAGGGTGGACCAGGGGCCCGTTTCATAAACATTACAAGTTGACAACCGACAAGTGACAAGTTAGAAGACAACTACTTGTAGTTTGCAAAAATTATAAAGTTGAATTGAAAACAACACGGAAACATAAAATCACAGGTTTTAACCTAATTTTCTTAAAGATCAAAAAGAAAAACGCAGTGATTCAGCTTGTCAACTTGTTATGCTCTATATATATTTAAAAAGGTTGACTGGAGTACTATGATAAAAAATGTCCTTCAGCCAAGAAATACATATATTACCAAATTAGCAAATCAAAATTTCAAAAAGAAAATTCCGAATTACGACATTAAGCAAATTGGCGTAAGTAAGCGAGGCATATATTTTTTTGTCTACTCGCCGGATGGTATAATTTTTCGTGATAATAAGCCAGAAAGAGTGCTGGAAATAAAATCTCCTTACTTAGGCGAGAATCTATGTAGTTATAAGGCAATAACATATTTAATTACTAATGATGAACTAATTTTAGGCAAAATCAAATCAGCTGAAGAAGTTCTACCAACACTACCATACTTAAAAAAGGACTTCAGTCTAAAAGAAAAACATGCCTACTATGGGCAGATTCGGATGCGGATGGTTCTTTTAAATGTAGTGTTGCTATGATTAACTTAGTATCTAGGAAAATATTCTGTAAACAGGCCCCTAGAGGTGCAAATGACATGTTAAGTAGACACAAAATCTAGGGAAACTAAAAAAACGTTAGTTTCAAACGCTGATGGAGTGGGACTAATAAAAATAAAATTGAAAATACCCATACTGATCTTTTCCTAGTATCAAATTTGTGTTACATTTTTCAATTTATTTTATAGCGATAACTTGATTTGCGTATGTTGAACTTCATTTTGGTTGGTGTTGTTTTTATAGAAAAAAGAAGATAATTATTATTATCTACTTTCAGTTTCAGTCAATAAAGATACCAGGAAAATAGAAGTTTTTGACTTTTCACAAAATCTCCTTTCATTTTCCATGAATATTAATAATGAATTCAATGAAGAGCAGCTGTACACTCCAGAGTTACATACACCAGGATTCCACAAATAATAAAAAAAAGATTCAAAATTGATTTACCGTAGAATGAGGTGTCTTCGGACAGCACGTGTGACTTCGGACGTGACCTTGGCATGTTTAAAATGCGCCATTACCAATGACATGCGCAAATAAATACAAAGTTTGATGTAGTCCATTTGTTACCTTTTAGTGTTCATTTGACATCTGCATTACCTACTTCAGCTCAAGTTGCGGAGCCCGACCCCGAGCCAAGTACTAGCACTACTATTATTACTAGCAGTCTTTTCACTTCAACATTTATTAATGATGGTCCTGATGAGGATGCTCCATGTGAAGCAACAAATAAATCTTTTATTAAAATGGAAGTTTCACCTAAAGATGGACTTCTCACTGCTGTCAATGAAAATAAAAAATCTTTATTTTTCACTGATAACAGCGACTCTGGATTATCTTCAGCAGAATCGTTTTGTTATAAATGGTAAGACGAGCTCCAGTACTTCCAGTAGGCTTCGAGTTTCAAAGTCTAAGAAGCTGAAAAAAAATTAAACAATTTTGTTGATGCGTTAAGAATAGATGATGAAATCGAAATAAACACTGCTTTAGCCGTTTTTATATTTGGATGCAACATTCCGTTTCAAACGATGAATCGGCTTATTTGAAAAACTTTATGAAAAAACTGAGACCAGCATATTCAACTAAAATTCCTACAAAAATATGCTACATATTACTTGTATAGCATATGCACTCCATCGTGTTTGTGAATTTATCAGAGACCACTTTTTGGATGTCGAGTCATTAATTAAAAGATATTCTTAAAGACCCCACAAAGAGTGAACTTATATAAACAAATGTGCCCAGATCTTCCTTTGTCGCCCTCAACAGTCATCACGCGATGGGGCACATGGTTAGAAGCCAGTTTATTTTATGCTGACAATATTGAACCACTTCAAACA